AGTGATGGAAGTACGATATAATGGCATTTTTATGAGAATTCAGGAAGTAGAATCTTAATTAGAAGTTGTGTCTTGATTTTAACTGAAATCCATATACAGAATCCTATGAGAGTGAGAGCTCTCATAGCTAGGAGTTTCCCTTTCCTATTTCAGGCCTGTATGTCCTGACAAAATGTTTATACTCATCCTATTTACTGAGAGAAAGGGGACGTATTTTCTTGAAAACAAAGCACATTTTACCCTAGGCAATCTGCAGAATGACCTCGCAGTGACAGTCACCTGTGGCTGGCAGGCCTGTCCCCAGCACCCACTAAGAGAACATAAAAAGGAGGGCAAAATGGTTATGGATCATTTTTAAGGCCCAAGGTCCTTGCCAGGTAGAGCTCTATTCTTTAAAAAGGTGAGCAGTTCATGACGTGTTTGTTATTCCTACATCACCACAAATAATTTTGTCTTCTCTTAAACGCCGACTAAAGCACAGCCAGATCATTCCTGATATCAAATCCTCTTCCACTTCTGGATCAAGGCTCTTTCTTCTCAGGTGGGCCCATATTATCTGCCACACTTTTAAGTGAGAGAATATTCCTGCTGCTGCCCTCAATCATGTACATTATTCAACGATAATCACAAGGGCCCTCCCACTTTTTCATTATTATCATATGACTGGCATTATTCCCGCTTCCTTTATTCAGTGATTAAAAGTTATTAATGTTATCATGACAATGATACCGCTATCAGGAAACCGATAACAATAGATTAATTATAAAATCTCTGTTGTCAAGTTCATATTGTTAATAAACATTTTAAAAGTGTGCCGCTAACAAGGAATAACACTACCCATGTAATTCCCGGAGCCTAGATAAACATGGGAGTTCTGCCTAGACAAGAATGTTAAACAGCTGCCTCCAGGTCAACAAACAACTGATATTTAAATTACGTTGTTAGTATCATCCTACTTCTTTGGGGAAAATCCCAGCCCAAGAGCAGCTAAGAGCTATTTTTATTACCAGATCAATGGGGCCAAGTCTTTGCCCAATATGAGGGAAGCCGGCGAGCAATAAGCTGAAGCGCAATGTCACCCTTTCAACAACCAAGGCTATGGTTGAGCTAAGGACAACACCAAGCTTTGAAAATAAGATTCTAGATTTCAGACAGATAAACAGTTTTAGGCCTTTGATGTACTGAGAATTCCCCCCAAGATAACTGGCTAGAACTGTGTGAATAATTGATTTTTCAGCTGAGCGCCTGAACCAACCAAGCAAACAAATCCCAACTTGTTTGTTAATTAACATGTTTTTCTCCCCTAAAACTTTGGGGGGAGGGTAGGAAATAAAAGCATGGTTTGGGATTGCCATATTGTTTCATTCAACCTGAAACTCTCTTCCATTTTAAACATTTTTGCAGATTTTAAGAGCACAAAGGTGCAGGGGTCCGCATGGAAAGTGGAAGTAATTCCCGGCGTCACATGTGTGCCGCTGCCCATGGAGGGCATCCCTCAAGCCAGCTCTCCTCCTCCACGGGCTTCTCGCCCCCTGAATTCCGAGAAACACCCTCCCTACCTGCAGGATCCCCAGGATCCCCCAGGAAAGGGGCTCCAGGGCACATTCCTGCGAATCCCAACTTGGGATTTCCCACATGCGAGGGCAGTGCCTTAAGCACAGTGCTGAGCAGCAGTGCAAAGGTGCTATTTCTTCTTTTCTTCAGTTTTCTTATGAGCCTAGCTCTGGGATCAAATGTGTCACTTGCAAAACGTCAAAATGAACTATGTGAATTCTTATTTTACTCTTAAAAATCTGTTAAATGCGTTAAAAGAAAAAAAAAACACAATTTCAAGATTATCAGTCAAAAGTATTGGTCAAGGTCAAGAGTACCAGCTCCCCCAAAACATGTTTCAGTGTTATTTTCATTTACTTTGTGACCACTTTGTCAAAAAGAAGTGCTGTATAGATTCATATGTTATTCTGAGGCTCAACAAAAACTAAGTGGTACCATAATTTTCTTCAAAAAATTAAAAACTACCATTAAACAGCAATATTATAGTTAGTATTTGGAAACAGAATTGCTAATGAACAGTGGACAAATCAACTGCCTTAGTTTTATCATTCAAATCAGTATAACGAAACTCTAGGTTGGCGAAAAGTTCAGGCCTGCCTACTCACATCTGTTGTCATATTAAAGATGCAGAGTTTCATATGTGTCACAGGCTCAACAATTTGCAACGATTTCGCATTAAATCATCAAACTACTAATTGGTGACATTTATTTAATCTTAAAGGTTTTAATTAATTCTTGCAAATGCTGCTAAGGGCCCGGTTCCCCGTATACCCTGCAAGGCAAATCCCATTAAAGGCTCCCGTTGGCTGTAATGGGAGCCAGGCTGGATCCATACGAAGACAGCTCCTGCCACGGGATACGGTAAGGTCTGCAGTGGGGATTTACAAGAGCATTATATTATATTTACAGGGCATTATAAGGCCCTATGAGCACAGCACTGGTTACAGCAGCTTCACAGCCTCTCACCACATTGGGGACTAACAGCATCATTTGTTCATGTACCATCATTTTTAGAAAGTGGCAACGGGACGCCGCTCTTTCCACCTTTCTGAGAGCTAAGAAGCCTACTTATTTTTCACACTATATATGGTACAGAATACTTACAGAAATTACATGAATTAGCCTCACATAAGCCATCACTGCCCATGAAGACTCACTGTGCCCGATGAGACTGTCTACAGCATGAGAGGAGTTACAAAAACCAGCCCTGTAGCTCAGGGAAATGCAGCACCTCCATTTGCAACGTTTTGGGTTATTTTTTTTGTAGCCCTGTTTTCTGTCAGAATTTACAGTCAAAATAAAGGTAATCTTTAAAATAAAAAATGAAAAGGGGATACAGGAGTGTCTGTTGCACTTTGAGCGGCATTATGCAATTGAATCAAGATTACATAACCCGAGTGTGATTACAGAAACGTGGCTCCCATTACACAGAGCCCGGCTATGATTACAGGGTGGCAATCCATCACGGATTACAAGTCTGTAACCAAGAAATTAAATTTCTTATTATTATCTATTAACATATTAAAACAGAATGCACATCATGAGGCTTTGAAATGTGCATTTTATAACTATTTAACTACTCAGTTACTGGCAGTAATTTTTTTTCATCATTTTTAATTTTACTCCACAAGCACACGTCCATTCTCATTTCATAATTAATACCTTAAAACTTCTGGAAGGATGTTATTGAAATGCTTTTATCTAAAATCTGTTTATTGATGATGCACACATATCAGAAATTATTATTACTTTCTAGAAATCTCTTCAGTGGTTTAGGAAAGAAAAGTATCAGGTTATATAATGTGTAACTTTGTATTTATTATTAATCAAGTAATTTAATGTGTTTCTTTACTGAGCCCTTCTCATTTAATCTTTTGGCATTCAGCATCAGCACTGCAGAAAGAGATTGAGTTGTTAAAAACGGTGAGAATCTATCATTGTCCTTCTAAATCCTGTTTGAAACAACAAGAAATATTGTTCATTATAAAAAGAGATGGATTAAGAAATACTGAGACTAGAAGCTACAGAACTTTAATATAACTTGGGTTCAAGGTAAATTAAGGCTTTTTTTTTCTCTGGTAGATTTTTTTTATATCCCAAGGTGACCTAGGGAACCTGACCTCTTCAAAAGAAGTACAGAAAAAAATATTATCTGATAAAAAAGGGGGCAGTCAGCCTGAATCAAACAGGGAAAAAAAAGAAAGGAGGAAAAGCCATTTACAAAAAGGTCAAATAACCAATATTTTGTGTCAGAAAAACGGAATCTTTACTTCTGCTCAGGCAAGCAGTTCCACAGAGGCCACGAGGAGTAACCTCATTTTTCAGTCAAATAAGAAAATCCAACATTATTCTACTCAGAGAAAAGCTGAGGAAGTTATTTTGGATCGTTTGTTAACGGACCCGGGGCCGTGTGTGTGCTGTGCCCGTGGGGTTCAAGGGCATCCCCGAAGCGAGGCGGGAGCAGCAGCCACGGCCATGTGCACACTGCTGCCATAATGCCCGGAAAAAAGGGCAGGCTGCAGCCTCCGGCTGAAATATTTACCCAGTTACTTACAGCACTCTACGAAACACTTCTGTTCTAAGCATATGCTGCAGAAGGGAAAGAAAAAAAAACAAAAAGGTAATTTGCAGGAGAGGATAAAAATGCATGAAATAGCGGTGTGTTTACTGGGGAGAAAACGGGCCTGCCGTTTGACGTTCCCTGCTGCAGGAATGGGGAGCCGGCTCCAGGCAGGCGGCCTGGCAGCAATCCCGACTGCTGCAAGGGCAGCAGCTATCGCCCCAACTCACTCGCTCCGGGCGGGCGCGAGGCTTTTCCGGGGGCTCCACTCTGGGAGCGGCTGCAGGGAGCGGCGCCCCGGGCCGGTGCTCCGTGCGGCGCCGCACGCGGGGGCCGCGGTGCCCCCGTCGCCGCCGGCTGGACGCGCAGGAGCGCGGGGCTCCCAACAAAGAGCTGGGGCCGGCCTCGGTGCCGCATCCCGGGCCGTTCTGCCAGGGACACCGGCCAGCCCGGCTCAGCGGCGGCGGGTGACGGGCAGGGGGCTGAAGGCCCAAAGGCAGCGGCACCCGCAGGGACAAAGGGAGGATGCGGTGGAGGCGCCTGCTCCTCACCCCTCTGAGCTGCCTCTCGGCCACACCACCGGAGAGGGATCCCCACGGAGCACCACACGCATCCCTGCATCCATGTCCCTATCTCCTTCCCACCGGCGATACCCAGAGCTCGGGGAGAGATGTCACCCGGGCCCGAGCAAGGGTGGCCACTGAGGCCACCCTTCCTCGTGCTCCTCCAAGACACACACACGCAGACATGGATGGCTCCATCCCACACACACGTACATGGATGGCTCCGTCCCACACACACATGGATGGCTCCGTCCCACACGCACACACATGCATGGCACCATCCCACACGCAGCCATGGATGGCTCCATCCCACAGCCCCCTACCTGCCCCTTGACGAGGCTGGCCGCGAACTGCCTCATGACGGCCTCCACGGTGTAGGCGCTGGACCAGCCGCGCGGGGTGAGCAGCTCCATGCAGATGGCCCCGCCGTCCAGCACGTAGCCGTTCTCGAGGCGCGGGCTGAGCACCCGCATGAAGGGCGGCGAGAAGGGGAAGTTGTCGGGGAAGGTGAGGTTGAGCAGGATGTACTCCGTGTTGGTCTCCTTCATGTCCTGCCACAGCACCGAGTCCTTGTCCACCTGGTGCAGCTTCACGTTCCAGTCGAAGAGGCTCTCGTCCACCAGCTCCACGGAGATGAAGCGGTCGCTGAGGCGGGCGATGTCCTGCAGCTCCTTCATGAGCCGCCGCGTCCTCACCTGCGCGCAGTGCTGCTGCCGGCCGGCGGGCGCGGGCGCCGCGGGCCC